TGCTGTGTTTCTTCAAACCTATTTGGAGTTAGGTATTCTCCTTAGGCTAAGCTTCACGAACATTAGATATGGTAAAGAATCATGAGTGTCCAAAATTTTTTCATGATAATCAAACCAATAACCTTTCTCAGTTCCCTTTTTCTGTAAATCTTCTTTTCATGCCATGTGAGAGTTTGTATTGTAGAATACTCCATTGCTACCACCTGATAATACTTTGCTTGATGCTAATCCTACACTTAAGAAGTAATGTAAATATGAAATAATAATTTTAATAGGATAGCATTTTCCAATTTTTTATATTGAACCTTGAAGGTTTTCACCAAGCCGTTCTAGTTTTCTGAGTGACTGACAAACCACCGACTTTACATTGGTTACCATGATCATTACTAATATTATTGCATGTTCTCATTTGGTCCAGAAAATACTGTCAGGGTCGGACCCGTCTTTCCCACAGGCCATCTCTCTCCATTTCACCTTATTCTCTTCATGTCTGTATCATTTAGGAACAGGAGGATTTCGGTCCGTGGACATTTTAAGTGCTCTTTCACAAATGAGATGGCATCACATAAGCTTCATTCAGGTTAGCTGTAGTCTTTGCTGGACTCTGTGATCCCAATAAATAAGGTCCTTCTTTATGGATCAATTCCCTCCTATTTTCCACTGTGCATGATACCTGTCAATAAACATCCAGGAGATTTGCAGGATCCTGCCACGGTCTGATTTCTGAAGCCAACCATGCAGTGTGTAGCTTATGAGGGTGCCATTCACGGGCCCCTGACATCAGGGTCCTGGTAATCTGTGGAACCTGATGCCAAGGGCTTGACGGGGCGTGGCTGCTGTTTTCACACCATAGTACGAACGTGTCACTCTACTTGCCTGATTGGATTTCCCACTCATTATCTTATACCTATATATAGATGACATGCCCTGAAAAAAGAAAGTTTGTTGTATACAAACAGTCACATATAATGACTAATTATATGTCTCTGGGCTCATCATTTGGGTCCCTGAGAGTAGTCTGTCCTGCATCTGCTCTGGGGCTACAAGACCTGGATTTAAATTGTCTCTGCCATTCATGAGAAAACTTTAGAGAGCCTAGTTAATCTCCTGAAGTCTCAGTTTATCCATCTGCAAAGAGGGAACGATAACACTTGCACTGATTGGGTCCCTTCTGGGATTAAATGTGGTAGCATATGTAATGCCCTTTGCAGCAGGCCTGCCGCGTGCTAAACCCTATACTAAACCCAGTAGAGTTCTCCTTCCATGGCTAAGAAGCCCAGCCACCCTAGCTACTTGCCAAACCCCAACATGCCTGGCCGTGGGGACGTCAGGAGGCCAGCAGCATCTGAAAGTCAATGGAATGTGAAAGCAGAGGAAGCCCTAGGCCTGGCATCCCACACTAGGTGTCGTGGTACACTTTGGAGGAGCTTAATCTCATCTGTAATTCGCGGATTCAGGATGACTGATCAGTTTTGTACTGCGTGTAGTCAAAAATATGACCTTGAGAAGTCATCCCCGGGTATTTGTCATCCTTTTGCACACTGAGATTTCAAGGTGATATATCTCTGGCTTGTGAACTCCATAGTACAGGTTATGGTGAGAAACGTCCGAGAAAAGTCTGATACTGAGTGTGAAGAGCCGATGCAGATTCACTGCTCAAGCATTTATTCTCAGGCGTGCACCTGCGCGTTGGTTTTCTGAATACTGCTTTGCCAGTTCCGTAGGCTTGGTCCTTGAATGGTGCCGTCTCCCCTGTGACTGTTACCTCCCCTCCCCTTTCTCCTCCTTCCCCTCCTTTTCCTGCACCTGCTCCTATGACAGAACTCCCAAAATGATTATGGGTACCTGTAATTCCTTTTGCCCTAAGTCGGTCATGCTTCCACACACACTTAGCCCAGGGATGAGGCTGGGGGAGGAATGGGTGGAATGAGGAGGGTGGGCAAGTCCCAAGGCAGTTTTAAAGCAATGGTGGAATTGACTTTTGGTAAGAAGAGTGGAAGGTGGGGTAGTGGGAGGTCCTCTCGTACCCGGGAAGCATCTCTGTAATAATTCTTAGTAGCTTCCTTGGGAGTTTAGAGAGAGCAATCTCTTTCTCTCTTCCTCTCTCTTTCTCTCCCCTACCCCATGCGCCCCTTCAGCATCTGCGAGTGCGCCCCTGCTTCAAGAACACACGTCTCCTCCTTTGATCTCCTGCTCCTAATTAGGGATTCTGTTTCGGACTGGAAGCAGCCTTGTGGCTGCACAAAACACAGAGAGCTCCCATGACAGTGTGTTTGAACCAAAAATACTAGGCAAAGAGATATGACAATATGCTTCACTATCCACAGTGATGTGGACAACACAGCAGAGATCATGCTGCGTTTTCAGTTGCCTGGAATGATTTTCCACAAGCAATTTCTCTTGAGTCTCAGGATTCAAGCTGGAAAGTCTTTTAGAAAAATGTATAAACGCAGTATCATCCTTTCTTATTCCATTGCTTTAACATCATAATACTCTTCTGAAAGCGGTCATGATGTTCAAAGACCTCTAAAGCAACTGACCTTGAATTAATCAAAAATACATGGGAAATAGAGTTAATATAACATTTGATTTTAGACGTCTGTCTAGTGACTACAATCATAAGAATTATGCATTTTAAGTGCAAAGAAACCTTTTGACAAAATAACATTCCTTGTCAATATTTTCTCAGAAGAAATTAAAGTCACTATTATCTAACCATTCAGTGTGGGATTTTCTGAGAAGCTTGATTTTACTTACCGTTTCGGTTTTTGCTTCTGAATCACTTGATACAAATAGGCATGTCTAGTGAGTGTTACTCTACATTATTAAATGATATTTTAAATTTTATACTCACCATGGTGGAATAAATTGGAATCTCCTTGAATGGATTAACAAGCAGGAGGATGTCCCCAATGAAAGTCTGTTAAAAGGAAAGGATATAAATAGTTATTGGACCATATAAATAGCACCTTTAAGGTTAAAAATTATATAATTTTACAATCACTGAGCAAAATATAGAGAATAAGTCAAAATCACACTTTATCATTTTGTGAATTGCTTTAACAGTTTGTAAATAAATAGAAAATTCAAACAAAATTAAACCAATAGGCTTGTTCCATTGAACACATAACAAGTGAAATGACTGAATTCTAAGAATTTCTCATCTTAAAGGGGTTTTATAATCACCAGTTGAATAAAAACATACAAAATTAAAACACATAGCCAAATGGAATGGAGGCGGTGAATGGGCTATGAATTCTATGTTGCTGCGTAAGAAGAAGAATAAAATGTATAACAGAAAAGTTAGTAAAGCACAAAAAGCAAATAAAAATAATTTTAATTTAAAAAAAGACAAGTAATGAGATATAAAGGCATAAAGATCAGATGGACCAAATAAAAATCAAATAATAAAATGTTAGATTTAAACCCAAATACATCAGTAATTATGTCAAATGTAAACTACTAAATAATTAAATGACAAAGATTATGAACTGGATTAAAATGCTAACTCAAATATAAAGACTAAGAAAACTTGAATGTTAAAGGATGAAGCAAGATACACACGCAAACAGTAATAACTGCAAGAAAGGTGGTTTAGCAATATTCAATTCATAGAAAATAGACTTTAACGTAGGAAACAGTACCAGTGATAAAAAGGGACATTTCACAATAATAAAATGATAAATCAGGAAGATATAGCAATTCTAAAATTCTATGAGACTGAAATCTAGCATAAAACTATAAGGAGAGAAACATGAACTCACAGTGATAGTGGAGAACCTTAACAATTTTTTCTTAGTAACTAATGGAACAAAGAGACAAAATTTTGAAATAAATAATTACCAAGTTGACTAACTGACTTATATAGAACACTATTACCAAGAACCGTACAATATACATTCTTTTAAGCTGAACACCGACCAGTTTCATTATATTCAAAGAGTTTGAGTCACATAGAGTATGTTCTCTGATCATGGGAGAATTACAATAGAAATTAATAATGGATACCTAGAAAATCACCAAATGTTTGGAACTTATACATCTGCAAATAACCTATGAGCCAGAAAAGAAACCATAATGCAAATGAGAAAATATTTTGATTATGACATATTATAACATGTGAGATGCTACTAAAGGTATACTTGGTATGAAAATTATTGCCTGAAATGTATATGTTAGAAAAGAAGAAAGGCAGATCATGATCTAAGTATCCATTTCAAGGAGCTCATCAAATTATGCAGAATTAAATAGCCAATATAAGAGCAGAAATTAAAGGAATAGTAAACAAATGCCAAGGAATAAAAAACAAAAGCCAAAAGGCAATCTTGAAAAATCTAATAAAAATATAGTACCCTAACAAGATTGACTGAGGAATCAAGAGGAAATGCACCAACTACCAATATCCCAAATATGACATCACTCCAGATACCACTGACATGAAAAGAGATGAAGAGGATATTAGGAATCATATTTTAGTCACTAAGTTTGGATATTTAGATGATGTGGACAGCAATCCACCATCTTACCAAAACAAATGTACTGAGTTATAGGAAATGTAACTAGTTTTATTTTTCGTACAAGAAATTGAATCTATGTCTAAAACCTTTCCACAAAGAAAACTAAGAATTCACCAGTGAATTCTTCTCAATGCTGATGTACAGATAAACAAATGTTATACAAATTATTCCAGAAAACAGCAAAGAGGGAACATGATTCACTCCATTTTAAGAGGCCTCAATAAACTGGATATTAAAAAGCTAACTGTATATTGAAAGAAAAGAAAATTATAGCTGGTCTCTCTCATTAAAATACACGCTAAAATCTTGAGAAAAATGTTGACAAGTTGAACCCAATAAGACACACAACAGGTAATATATTTCAACCAAATATTCTTTATTCTAGTAATCCAAGGTTGGCTTCATATTAGAAAATTAACCCTTGTAATTCATAATACTAAGGAGTCAAGAACTAAAGTTATAGGATCATCTCAATAAATGACAAAAAACATTTATTAATAACATTCAATTCCCACTCTTGATTAAAAATAACTTTGAAAACTATTAATATAACGGAACTTTCTTAATCTATAAAAAGTTATTACATCTATGGCACAGCTACTGCTAACAACTTGCTTAATGTTAAAACAGATTTTAATGATAAAACACAGATTTTAATAATAAAACAACAGAGATTTTAATGATAAAACACAGATTTTAATAATAAAACCGCTTTACCCTGGGATCAGAAACAGGACAGGAATGTCAATTATTGTCACTGCCAGTCATCTTTTAATTAACAGCCCTATACCATGAAACAATGCAAGAAAAGAAAGTAAAGAAACTATCAAGATTTAAAAGAGACACATGAAAGTCGTTATTTGGAGACTACATAGCAGTGTGTGCAGAAAAGCCAAAAGAATCTCCACGTAAGTTAATACTTACATATGGATGTGGCAAGTTTGATGAATAAAATGTGCTTATAAAAAATCAAAATCGTATCTCTATATACTAGCCATAAACAATTAGAAAACACAATTGCTTGTTATTTTCAATAAGAAAATAACATCTATTATAGCATCAAAACTTGAAAAATGCCTAAAATAGATCTAATGCAAACAGGCCTTCTATACCAATTTTTTTTTAATGTTCCAGAAAAATTAAAGATGACCAAAGGACAGATAGTAATGTTCCATGAAACAAAAAATCCAATATTGGAAAAATCTCAATTATTCTCATCTAATCTGTACATTCAAAGCAATACCAATGAAAGTCCAATGGAAACTGATAAGTGGACTTGAAAATATGTATGAATGTCCAAGAGTCATTAGCCAAGACATTCTGAAGAACAAAGTCAGAGGACTTTCTATATATCAAGATTTATTATATAGCTATAATGATTAAGATATTTTAGCACTGGTTTACAGACAGACTAACAGATCCATACAACAGAAGACCAATTTCAGAGAGACTCACTCCCCATGGCAAGCTTGTTTATAACAAAGGTGTCACTCCAATGCGTGGGGGGAATCCACATGGGGAAATATTTATCTTGACCCTCCTCTCTTACCACTGTGAAATCATTTCCACACTGGTAATACACCTGAAACGTTAAAGTTACAACATCCAAACTGCAAGAAGGAAATATAAGAAAATATTTTCAGGACCAAGGCCAAAATTCTTTGAGCAGGACACAAAAAGTACTAACCCTAAAGAACTTTGTAAAAACTGCCAATTTCTCTTTATCTAAAGACACTTTAGAAGACTAAAATGTAAGCCACAAACTGGGAGAAAATATTCGCAATAAATCTATATCTATATCTATATCTATACATATCAGACAAAGAAAGGATATCCTGAATATTTAAGAAACCCCTACGTATCAAGGAGAAAATGTAAAACAACCCATTTATTTTTAAATGGCAATATAATTTGGAGACACTTCACAAGATAAGATAATCAAATCAGCAACAGACACCTATCAGTCAACATCATTAGTTATGTGGAATTAATTTTAAAAACCTCAGCTAAAGCTGGACTTTGTAACAGGCCTGGAGGGGGTGATTTCACACCCCTACCATGCAACCTTAATTACCCCAAACAGGAAGAGCCCTACATCTATCTATAACAGAAAGATGTCTCTATTTCACTGACCAACAGAAAGAAAAAACCATCTTTCAGCCTGAGGACAGCCTAGCCCATCAGAGACTGCAGCAGCCCAACCAATGAGAAGCCTCCATGCTCTGGACTCCATGCTTCCTCCAATGGATCATTTAGTCATTACAGCCCCTCCCAAACCCTCTCTTTTCCCTATAAAAGCAAGCTCCCCTTCCTCGTTTTCAGGATTTGCCTGTGGTCTGCCATAGTTTGCACAGCCCGGATTTCAATTCCTCTGCTATTCCTGAATAAACTTGCTTTTGCTGGTAAGATAACTGGCTATTATATTATTAAAGTTGACGGTTATCAGGGAAAAATGTAAGTTAAAACCAAAATGAAGCACCACTGCACAACTGCCAGAATGGCTAGATTTTTTTTTTTTAATTAATAATACAAATAATACTGATAACATCCAGTGTTGGTCATGATGTGGAAACCTAGATGTCCGTATTGGGCATGTAGCCACTTTGAGATACTATTTGGCTGTATCTCCTGAAGCTGAACACACCTGATGATGCTGGCACTGTAGTCCTAGGTGAGAGCCTCACAAAAGACGTGAGGCTGTGTGTTACTCCAAGAGCTACTTAATATGTGCGCCCCCCAAAAGGCATAGCGTGGTTTATAACAGTATTATTCATAGTAACCAAAAAGTGGAAACAACTCAATGATTCCTCAATTGTAGAGTAAAGAAATAAAAGAGGATATATTCATACAGTAGCTTACTGTACAGTAGCTTACTTACAGGGATAAAAACAAATAACTGCTGCTACAAGCAACACTATAGATGAGTATTAGAAACATAATGATGATGAAAGACGACAGACACAAACAAGAATATACCAGATGATTCCTTTTATACAAAATTAAAAGAAATTCAAAACTAATCCATAAGCGTATATGCCAGAAACTTTTGTAATGATTACAGTTAACTGGGGAAGGAGTTTCTTACACTCCTTTTCTTTATGAAGCTGCTGGTTACATAGGTGTGTTCACCAAATAAAAACTCATGAAGCAATACTTTAATGAGCTGTGCATTATTCTCTTTATACGTCATAGTGCATTACGGCATTCACTTAAAAGAAGGATTGGCCAGTATTTTATAGCCAAGTAAAGGAGGAAGGAAATAAAAGTGAAATAATTGAACCAAAGGGGAACCTTATTAGTGAAGTATCTGAAAATTAGTCTTAAATTCCAGAGAAGAAAAATGAAGATAGACAGTAGATTGAGGAAGAATTGAGAAATCTGTTAATTAAGAAAGATGAGGGGGGCTTCCCTGGTGGCGCAGTGGTTGAGAGTCCGCCTGCCGATGCAGGGGACGCGGGTTCGTGCCCCGGTCCGGGAAGATCCCATGTGCCGCGGAGCGGCTGGGCCCGTGAGCCATGGCCGCTGAGCCTGCACGTCCGGAGCATGTGCTCCGCAACGGGAGAGGCCACAACAGTGAGAGGCCCGCGTACCGCAAAAAAAAAAAAAAAAAAAGAAAAAAAAAAAAAAAAAAAAAAAAAGAAAAAGAAAAAGAAAAAAAGAAAGATGAGGAACATTAAAATACAATAAAAATACCCTAAAATGCATTTTTTATGGAGATATAATTTTGGGGGGGCCTCAATATTGAAGGAATTTGGGACTATCTGAAAATATATTTTGTGATAAAAATAGTTTATAAAACTATTACTTGAATGTTAATAATGTTATTTATTCTGTGCACTTCCTGGTGAGTGAACATCACATTACCTGCACTTCACTTTCTGTTTGATGGTTCGGGAACTTCCTACTCCTGCAGACTGGAGGGAAACTTCCCAATCTGACATCCAAATGGGATGCTATACACTCAGTTAAAAGAGCAACTTGCAGATTGCTCTGAAAGACCATCTTATATAACAAATCAGACTATAGGACTATAGCAAAAAGAGATGAAAACCCTGGTTGAACAGTTAATTCAGCTGAAATGTTTTCTCTTGGGCTCTGATGGGCCCAGACAGCAGCAGCAGAGGTGGTATGCTGTCTGCATTTTGAAGGCAGGGCTGACAAGATTGGCAGGAAAATCGCATGTGGGGTATGAAAGAAAAAGAAGCACCAATACTCTTCCAGTCATTTTGGCCTGAAAACTGAAAGAAAGAGGTTGTCATGAACGGAGATGGGAGGGGCATGGGAGGGGCATGTTGGGATCGGACAACCAAATTTGAATATTTTAATGTTGAAACATCTACTAACCTAGTGCTTTTGTATTTGTGGGGAAGGAACACTTTTATTTCCAATTCATTGTGGACTAATACTTCTGCAAAACATAATAAAAAATTCCTGGAAAAATGAAATTGAAAAAGACAAAGACATACAAAAAGCAAGGCTTGATTCTTATGAGATTCAACAGACAGAAATTAAACCATTAAATTGCTATAAGAGTTTTTAAAAGCTTTACTCTGAGGGCAGACTGGTAATAAAATGTTCACATATCCAGTGGTCCAGAAAATACACTGTGAGAATCACCTATTACTATTAAATCAGTAACATTTAAATTGCTTGTCTATCCATAAAGGCAAATTCAAATACCATAACTTGGAGCACTCATTACAAAATTGATCCTAGGTAGCTCAGCTCTTCAATATTTCAGGTCTACAGAAGAGGAAATCATGCCTCACACAGTGAAAAGTTTATATCCTCAAAAAGAAAACCAGAGGCCCAAAATAGAGTCCCATATGCTAGGCCAGGCTATCCGACAGGGGCATAATATCTAACCTAACTGAAGCTGCCCCCAGAAATATGGTCTTGACCAGACAGTCAGGAATTTTCTGTTTGGTACCAATAAGGTAATATGTCACATGGCCCCTCTCCATTCCCCAAAAGATGATGAGGTGGTCGCTACATAGACCCCTCTGTTCCCCACAGGTAGTTACATAAGCCTGAAGCAATATTTTTTATGACTTCCTCATCTTGCCTTTAAAACCCTTCCCTTTCTGTGGCCCCCTGGAGCTCCCCTCTGCTAGCTAGATGGGGTGTTGCCCAATTCATGAATCATTCAATAAAGCCAATTAGATCACTAAAATTTACTCAGTTGAATTTTGTTTTTTAATAGTGTTTTACATGAACTTTAGCAAAGCAGGGAATCCTAATTCTGATTATCCAGGTAGTGTTAGCAAAGAGAGTCTACGAAGGTGGTCCACTGCGTGGGGTCTGCGACGTGACCCGGATAAACAGGTAGGAAGTGGTTATCATTTCAGATGAGGAAGTGGGGGGTCCTGTTCCCCCTGAGCTCAGAGTCCAGCACGGCAGCAAGATGCTAATCAAACCACCACCGAGGTTTATAATCACAAGCGGTGAGAAGTGTGCTACAGAAAGATGGTGCACAGTGACTTAATCCGGAAGTTCTGGGAAGGATTACTTAAAGACGGAAGAATTATTGAGTGGGAGTTTATAAAACTATGTACTATGTGGAGGTAGAAAGAGAACTTTATGGAAAAAAAAAGACAGTCTAAGGGGAATCCCTGATGCAGGAAGGCGGGCAGTGACCAGTGACTAGGAATCATCAGTGATAGTGTTTAGGGACCAGATCGTGAATAAGGCTTGTGGCTGTCCTTCCAAGAAAAATGACAAGCCTCAGAAAAGTTTTAAGACTGGGAGTTTCGAGATTACATTTGTTCTTTACGAAAATTACTCTAGTTCGTTATGAAGTTTCCTCTAGAAAGTCAGGAGGCTATTGGAGAAAAGATGATGAGGATGGTGCCCGCTGGGAGGCAGAGTAGTAGATCTTGGGAGATAAAAAGCCACTTGAAAAGCATGAAAGAAATAAGAGAAATCAAAACTATTCAAGCAGTGGTCTGCCGATAATGTGGTTAAGAAGTTAAAATGAAGGAGAATCAACACGATGCTGGAAAAGGAGAGACAAGAGAACAAAAATAACACAAAAGCAACAGGGCAGTAACAGACCAAACTAATCAGGCTTCACCACTTTCTGCTGATGACTCAATTCCATTAATTTTGATAGAAGTATTTAATTTTAAGTGTATTTACAGTGGCGGGCAATTTATCCCATCATTAAGACACTGCACTGAATGTTCATGGATTAATCAGCACCTGACAATTTATTACTTGTAAAGAAATCTCTGATTTCACATTTACATGAAAATGACTTCATCAGTTTCTCAGCAGAGTAGGAAAAAAAACGGGTGTTATCAAAAAGGGATAGCAGAGGGCTTCCCTGGTGGCGCAGTGCTTGAGAGTCCGCCTGCCGCTGCGGGAGATGCGGGTTCGTGCCCCGTTTCGGGAAGATCCCACATGCCGCGGAGCGGCTGGGCCCGTGAGCCATGGCCGCTGAGCCTGCGCGTCCGGAGCCTGTGCTCCGCAAATGGGAGAGGCCACAACAGTGAGAGGCCCGCATAACGCAAAAAAAAAAAAAAAAAAAGGGATAGCAGACATGTGCATAATCAGATGTCTCTATAGACATTCTGATTGAATTGCTCTGAGATGAATTTAACAAAATCAATGAGAGAGAGAGAGAGAGAGAGAGAGAGAGAGAGACATTAAGAGTGCATAGTGTCAAAATTGATATACATATTGGAAGAAATAACACATATAAACCAGAAGAGAACCACAGCAAATCAATTCTCCATGCTGTTTGCCATCTAAGTCATACATTTGTATGCTATTATCAGAGATGTGTATATAAATTATTTACTAGACAAAGACATTTCCCGATAATTTAGAAGAACAACAGTTTTTCTTTCATGCAAATAGAGAAGCATCCCCCACGCACACTTAGCTTTTCCTCTTTGGCTTCATTCTCCAGATCTAGGAGGCTGAGTTAAAGCCGATGAAAGAAACAGCATTTTTATAAGTGATCTGCAGATCCTGCTGGTTCTAGCAAGATCTTTTTCTCCAGCAAACATGACAAGAGGAAAGTTGTCTACCCTCAGGGCTCCAACTTTCTCTTAACAACCCTGAAATGTGAATCTTTGCAGAAATTGCCTTATAACTGAATCAGAAGACTTGACCCAAACTCTGAGAAATCCACCTTAAGCTATCAGCATGACCAAAAGTAACAATGAGCCCCTTCCTTGTCATATTTGCAGCACTGACAGGTGAAAATACGCAGCAAGACAAAAGCAGTGTGAAAGGCAATTTCAAGGGCACTTACATAGATCTGATTGTTCCCAAAGCGCTTCTGAATTTCGTAAAGCAGGCTGCTGTCCGTAAGCTGGCTGAGCGTTGCCAGGTCATCGTTTGGAGCGGGAGGCATCAGCTCGACCTGGGGGAAAAATAGGTAAGATCAATCCTAATTGCTTTCCAATCAACTGTCTTCACAGTTGTTTCTTCCATTTTCAATTACATGTCAAAAGTTTACAGACCACATGAATTCGAAACTGTTATTAAAAGATGAAATGGTTCACTTGTAAGGAACAAAAAATTCAACAGTCACAGAAATGTATTCAGGTGAGAATCTCTGTTCGATACCCACCAGCCAGGGCACACACTCATACACGCACCTACACACACAACCTGCATGTGACCCCACGTCCCTCCAATCATGAAGTCTAATTTAGACAGCTCTGAACTGTGCTGAGTCCTTTTTAAGACCAGCTGTTGAAAAGCTCACGTTTTTCAGTGTTTCCAAAGCTAAAGGAAAACTCCTATCACAAAACTGGAATGGGAGGAAAGCAGTGTGCCTGGACTTCAGTTTCTGAATACATGCAGGGAGGCAATGGAACTTCAAAGTAGCCTCTAGAATTCTGGCCTGTAAATCGTCTTCTGTTCTACATTACTGCTAAGTTTCAGGTAGTGTGAGATTAAGATGATTCTGTCAGAAAGAAAAACACTGCTTTCCTACTCAATTTTATATTGAGTGACAGAGTTGAAAAACTGGACAATATTTCCAAAAAAAAAAGGTAAACCTGAAATATTTAAATTAGATGAAAATCTATTATTTACAAGTCAGAAATGGGCAATGTTTAGTTTTATTTATATAGACAAAGGTCTCTCGCAAGTTGGCATGCGTATTGAACTCCCAAAGCAATCATAAAAAGGAGAAAAACCAAGAGCAGGAATTTTTTTTCCTTCAGAAGGAATGATTTACGCTAAGATAATAAAATTCCTCGTATATCCACAGCTCTCAGGAGCTCAAGGCAAATTTCTGCATGCACATTAAAAAAAAAAAAAGCAGGAAATAGCACTAACAGAAGTTTCATGTTTGTTCCAACAAGGCTGAAAGAGCTATTGTGGCATATCTTTGGAATTCTTGAGGGTTTTCATCTCCAGTCACAGCTGCTACACGGGTTAGAGAAAGTACTTCTACGCTGACAGTAAAAATGTGAAGACTTCCCAGCCAGCTTGTAGTAACCAAACGTGAGAACACCGTGTTAGGGTAGATCCAGGGAAGAATTCCTTGTAGTTAGCGTAACAGATTCCAAAATGATCAGGAATGAAGCTTTGATAATCAGTCTTAAGCAAGGGGCACATTCCTTCTAAAGATTCCTAAAGCACTGTGACAGCTGATAATATGTCTGTGAATATTTTTATGTTATAGTTGTAGACTCAGTCGTGTATGCTACCAGTGTCTCCCAAACAATTATGACAACAGTCAAAACAGACACGGGATAAATATGTAAAAAACAAAAACAAAAACAAAACTTCACATCTTCGCTAGGGTTGATCATTATGGTTCTTATGAAGATATACAAATATCCACATATATACATACATTTCTCTCTATATATGTATACATTTCCAAAAATAGAAATCTGAAACACAAAACAGACATAATTCAGAATAGAAAGTCAGGAAGAAATTAGAGAAACACTTTGAGAAATGTTTCAAGACCCAAAAGGAATTTACATCTTGGAAATACTCTGAATCCACTGATTCCTCGTCTCCACTTGCCAACACTGCTTTCAGTGCTGTCAAATTTCCTGTTTTGTTCTCTTGTGTTTGGTTGTGTTTTCTCTCTCTAGGACATAAGTAGTATATGTCCAGGAACCAGAAATTCAGTGGGCAGACAGAAGGTCTGACAATTGCGATAAGAGCAAGAAGATTCTGGGGAAAGGCTGTTTGCAGGAAAGAAAGAAGTAGGCATGAAAGAAGAGGAAAGAAGAAATTAGAAAAGAACGAGCTGACCGGGATGGTCCTACAGGGAAAGGGGTGATGATCTGACAAAATATTAAGCTTCCTGGGCTTCCCTGGTGGCGCAGTGGTTGAGAGTCCGCCTGCCGATGCAGGGGACACGGGTTCGTGCCCCAGTCCAGGAAGATCCCACAGGCCGCAGAGAGGCTGGGCCCGTGAGCCATGGCCGCTGCGCCTGCGCGTCCGGAGCCTGTGCTCCACAACGGGAAAGGCCACAACAGTGAGAGGCCCGCATACCGCAAAAAAAAAAAACAAAAAAAATTAATCTTCCCAAAGCTGAAGCCCATCACCGTGCCTGCACAGCACCTTGTTCTTACCTGCTTTTCATTCTATGAGATGTTTCTTAGAGAGTGCAATATATCAGGTCCTTTGTTTGCTGAGAATTTACACTTTTGTGTACCTGGATGCTGGTATGTCCGAGGACTACAGAAAGCAAACCGTCACCTATCTTCAAAATCCCTATATGCACATGCATATATGGAACACACACTTTCTCTCCTGTGCACAGAACTGTCACAGGGCAGCAGGGCTCTGGGAAATGAACCTGGAGCTTGCTGTCGTGTCTCCAAAGAGCACTGGATACAGCAGAAAAGAAACACTTGTGACTCTAGGCAATTTGTTTAACTTTCTTGAGTTTGAGTTTGGTCGGTTTAAATACTCAATTTGAGAGTCAGTTAAGTAGCAAAAGTGAATTATAACTTGCCCACAGTAGAATTTTGGGGATTAATGGACAGAAGACATTAAACAGACATTTCTCCAAAGAAGACATACAGATGGCCAAGCACATGAAAAGCTGCTCAACATCACTAATTATTAGAGAAATGCAAATCAAAACTACAATGAGGTATCACCTCACACCAGTTAGAATGGCCATCATCAGAAAATCTACAAACAACAAATGCTGGAGAGGGTGTGGAGAAAAGGGAACCCTCTTGCACTGTTGCTGGGAATGTAAATTGATACAGCCACTATGGAAAACAGTATGGAGGTTCCTTAAAAAACTAAAAATAGAATTACCATAAGACCCAGCAATCCCACTACTGGGCATATACCCAGAGAAAAGCATAATTCAAAAAGACACATGCACCCCAATGTTCATTGCAGCACTATTTGCAATAGCCAGGTCACAGAAGCAACCTCAATGCCCATGGTACACATATACAATAGAATATTACTCAGCCATAAAAAGGAATGAAATTGGGTCATTTGTAGAGACATGGATGGATCTAGAGACTGTCATACAGAGTGAAGTAAGTCAGAAAGAGAAAAACAAATATCGTATATTAACGCCTATATGTGGAACCTAGAAAAGTGGTACAGATGAACCGGTTTGCAGGGCAGAAATAGAGACACAGATGTAGAGAACAAACATGGACACCAAGGGGGGAAGCGCTGGGGGGCAGGTAGTGGTGGATGAATTGGGAGACTGGGATTGACATGTATACACTAATATGTATAAAATAGATAACTAATAGGAACCTGCTGTATAAAAAATCAATAAAATTCAAAAAAAGATATTATAGGTGAAAGCATTTGTAAGCTCTGAAAGTATTATTTTATATTATTATTTTTTAAAATAATCTATACTTACATTAAAAAAAGAAAACCCAGTGTCGACTGGAATTACATGAATTAAGAGCAGATAAATTAGTGCATAGAGGATTCAACCACTGTGGCAAAACCTTACAGTCAGTCTATATAAATGACAGTAATAAAAACAATAAATATGTCTTGCTGAGTTTTTGTTTGTTCTCGGTAATTGTGCTGTCACCTTATAGCCTTAGTCTTTTGTCATCTTCAAAACAACAAAATAAGGTGAGTACTATGTTCCCATTTTACAGATGGGGCTTAGTGAGATTAAGGGGCTTCTAGAGCTCCAGAAGCAGACCTGAGCCAGAGCAAATCTGCCTGACTCCATCCTCCTGTCTCTTTACTCCCAGGAAAACATGGCTTCACTAAATGGAATAAAAATTTGACCTGAATTATAAGCTGGAACCAAATTTAAATAAATATACTGTGAGAGGAAAGAAGAGAGGGAGGAAGGGAAAGAAGTTAAGCAGTTAGGAAATTAGGAAGAGAATGGAAAAGGACAGGGGAGAGGAGGAATGGGCCGAAAACAGAACAAAAAGTGAAGAGAAGGAAGAATGTCGCACATTTTTAAGCATCTGAAGAAAAATTCTACATTCTCAGAGATATTATAAAGCGAATGTGAATTTTGGGGACTATCAGAACCAAAGAAAGTTTAAATCAAGTCTTGAATATTCATGTATGGAGTTACCATTCGATAAGGCCTACATTTTCTAAAAATCTGAAAGGAGAGATGCTGTGGGTTTTGTTTCAACTTGAATTCTACACAATGAGTTTCTCTTTAAAATGTGAATGGGAACTTTATTGCTTTGACAAGACTTTTCTAAAGCCCTCCTGTGAAGTGTGAGTGAGGACAGCCCTGTCGAGAATCCAAGCACCTCATGACCAAGAATGAATAACAGCATGATGCACACAGTGGGAGATGTGAGCGAATATTACACAGATAATATATGCACATGAAACCTGAATACTAGCCTCTCCCTGTTTAATACTAGATCAACAGAACATGATTACAGCTGCTTTTAATGTCTAGGATACAATTATAAAGAGCTTACATTAAAAACTGAAAAGTCATTCAGCAAGGATTACACTTGACGTTATGCTGTGAGTGTCCTCTCATTTTTTAAAAGATATTATTTTTTAGAGCTATTTTAGATTCACAGCAAAATTGAGAGGAAGGTACAGAAATTTCCCATATACCCCTGGCCCCACTCATGCATAGCCTTCCCGGTTATCAACATCCCTCACCAGGGTGGTACCTCTGTTACCACTGACGAGCCTACACTGACACATCATCATCATCCAAAGCCCATAGTTCACGTCAGGGTCACTCTTGGTGTTGTACGTTCTATGGATTTGGACAGATGTATAATATCACGTGTCTACCCTTACGGTGTCATACAGAGTAGTTTCACTGCCCTAAAACGCCCTTGTGCTCCACCTATTTATTCCCCTGCCCTGACCCCTGGTAACCTCTAATATTTTTACTATCTCCATGGCTTTGCCTTTTCCAGAATGTCAAATAATAGAATCATATAGTATGTAGCCTTTTCAGACTGGACTCGTTCACTTAATAATATGTATTTAAGTTTACAGAAAGTTCATAGGACCTTTAAAAAAGTTAAGAAAAAGCTTTGCCTTAAATTTCACCTAACACTCAATTGCCTACCACTATGGACTGAATTGTGTCCCCCCCAAATTCATATGTTGAGGCTCTAACCAGCTTGTGACACTGTTTGGAGATGGGGCCTTTAGGAAGTTATAAAGGTTGAATGAGGTTATAAGGGTGGGGCCCTAATCCTATAGGATTAGTGTCCTTATAAAAGACACCAGATAGGTTGTTTTTTCTCTCTGTCTATCATGTGAAGAGAAAGAGGCCATCTGCAAGCCAGGAAGAAGACATTCACCAGAAACTGAATCAGCCAGAGCCTTGATCTTAGACTTCCAGTCTCCAAAACTGTGAGAAAATAATCTCTGTTGTTCAAGCCATCCAGTTGTGGTATTTTGTTACGGCAGCCTGAGCTGATGAGTATACCTACTAACATTTAAAGGTATTTCAAAATTACAAAAATAATTTGTTATTTAAAAATAACAAAAAATAATGAAATTTAAATTTTGAAAAGAGAATCTTTAGAAAACCTCAATAAATTGTCCTTAAAACATTCAAAATTAGACACAGTGAAACAAAACATTTTCAGGGATTACTGTGACATTCAGAAAATTACTCTGCCATTTATAAAACGTGAAACATATAAAACTCATTTATTTCTGTGGGAATGATAGCAAAAAATACATTAATTTCTATAACTCCAAGCTCCTCAAAGTGATCTCTGATCATCTGGACACTGGGGCACACAGGCACACACACACAAAACACCACCACAGTTGCTTTTAAGGATAAGTGACTCAGTGATTGGTTTGTCCTTCTTGTTACATAAATTGTTTGATATTTGTAAGAAACAGAAAACTATCTACATAATAATCAAAATGATGACTAATGACATAACCAGAAATATTCAGGAATTAACGTATTGGCTGAATTTCCATTTCTGGTAAATCAAGACTATAAAATTCAAATCCTTGTAAAAACACATAGCAGCAGTTAAGTTTGTTAATGGTCAGTATAATACCATAACAATTTATATATGGTAATTTCAAACCAAATATTAACATTTGCACTCATTAATTTTTATTTGAATTGAAATTAGTAGGTGTTTGTTTTTGAAAAGTTGGACTTTAAGGCATGATGTAATAGGATGCAACACTAGCAGACCTGCAATAAGGGTGTAGTTACCTGATCAGGTTTGGTGGGGCCGTTCACGGTGGTATTTTCGGGAGTACTGTCCTGAGATTGTCCGTTGCACAGACCTTTTGTTGCATCTTTGAACATAATGTCTTTTTCCAGCATACTGTCTTGCTTGGCAATTGGCAATGCCAGGGGGCTGCTGGAGGAAAAAAAATCAATGTTATGATTAGTCTTCTAACATTGCCATATCAATCAAAAATTACCATGACTGGACAGCCGATTACAGAAAGTTGTTTAATTCAGATAAGAAACAGTGTCAACACTGCAGGTAGAATCAATGAGAAATCTGTAAACTTTTCTATTAGCTCCAGATCTCATGCAATTTCACCTTTAAAAGAAAAAATATACTCATTTCAACCTGAGAAGAAAATGTTTATGAATGGATATATGACTTAACAGACAAATCAATGAGCAATTGAAAAGCTAAGGTGGAAATGCATGCTTGAACTAAGCAAAATATTTAAATATGAATGAATGCAAACAAGTGAAGGCAAAATTCTACAATTAAGTAAAATACTGTTCATACAGGATTTTTATATGTTATAGAATCATGGACAATAGTTAAGAATTTGTGAAGAAATGATAATAGGGGAATTAAAAACAAACGACATGCTTAAGGACTGCAACGTTACAAACAATAAGTTTCATTACTCCTTTACAGCTCAGGCTAGGCAAAAAAAATAAAATAAAACCCACTTCATTTTTTGTTCTTCCATAGACACTGTTGCCAAAAGAAAGGCAAGTTCGTAAAAAATAAACACAATCCGAATGTTTAATTTGTATTGTAACACTTTAGTCCAGTAAAATTTAAAAATGTACTTTCCTAAATGTGACCATAAAGCAGAAATACATACATATTTAATCAAGTGCAGTATATAGAAACATAATTATTTCATGTATCTTACAATAGTAGTTGTGATTCTAATTAAAGCTTAATGCATTTTGTTGTTTTTTTTAAAATTTCAGTTTTATGGAGGTATTTACAAATAGTAAAATTCACTCTGTAGATGTACCGTTGCACGAGTTTTGTCTACATACACATAATTATATAGAGTTGGTTATATATATGTATATACATTTGTGTAACCCACACAATCAGCAACACATAGAATTTCTGTCACTCCCAAATGGCTCTTTGTGCCTCTGCCCTTTGACGTCAATTATTTCCCCTAACCCCCCACCCCTTGTAACCATGGCTAGTTACTTCTTTCACTATAGTTTTGCTTTTTCTAAAATGTCATGTGAAAGAAATCACAGAGCATGTAGCCTTTTGTTCCTGGCTTCCTTTACTTAACATGTTTTTAAGATTCATTCATGCTTCTGCGTGTATCGAGTTTGTCATTGTTTATCAATGGGTAGTGTCTTCCCGTGGGATGCACTGCACTTTGGCTGTCCATTCACCAAACATTTGGGTTTGTCCAGTTTTTGTCAATTGTGAATGGAGCTTCTATACACATTCACGCACAGGTGTTTGTGGTGACGTATGACATATGCTTTCATTTATCTTGGCTGCGTACCTAGGAGAGACTCCAAACTTTCCTCGGGGTCTGAACCATTCACTGGTGCTTCCCCCATGCGTGGGCTGGAGTCCCACTTGCTTCACATCCTCGACAGAACTTGTCTTTTTTGTTGTTTTTTTAATCCATTCCAGTGGGTGTGTTAGTGGCTTCTCCCTGTGGCTTTTATTTGCATTTCAGTGTGGTTATCTGACACAAGAATCCCTTCTTTGGTAAAGTGTAAGTTCAAATCTCCTTTTTTTTTTTTTTTTACTGGATTCTATGGTGTCATATTATTGAGTTTATATATTATGGATTCGAGTCCTTTATCAGATACACATGTGGCAAATATTTTCTCCCAGTAGGTATCTTGTCTTTTTATTTTTTTAACAGTAAGTTTCAAGGAATATTTTTTCTCTTATGGTTTGTGCCTCTTGTATCTTATCTAAAAATTCTTTCCCAAACCCAAGGTCAGTAGGGTTTTCTCCTAGGTTTTATTCCAGAAATGTTATAGTTTTATGCTTCACACTTAGGTCTACAATTCATTATGAGTGGCTTTTTTTATATGGCGCTGTATATGGGTCGAGTTTCATTATTTCTTCGTATTGTTGTCCAAATGTTCCAGCATCAGTTTTGAAGAGAACATCTGTCCCCATCCAATTACCTGGACACCTTTATTGAAAATCAACTGACCATCTATGTGCAGGCCCACTTTAGGACACTCCATTGTATTCCACTGATATAATAGCCTATTCTTACACCAACATTACATTTTCTTGAGTAATGTACTTTCAGAGTAAGAGTTGAAATCAGGCAATGTGAGTCATCCATCTTTGTTTTCTTTTTCAAAATTATTGAGGCCATTTGAGGTTTAGCATTTTCATATACATTTTAGAATCTATTTGTCAGTTTTTATAAAAATTTCTGGAATTTTGATTAGCCTTGTGTTCAAAATATTAGTTAATTTGGGGAGAATTTACCTAATAACCATGTCAAATTTTGTCATCCATAAACACAGTATATTTCTCCATTTATTTTGATCTTCATTAACTTTCTCATTAGTTATTTTGTAGTTTTCAGCATTAAAATCTTGCAAATAATTTGTTAGATGTATTCTGATATATTGCATGTTTTATGCCACTACCAATGTATTTCTATTTCAATCTCTAGTTATTAGTCTATAGGAATACAAATGATTGTTTTAGATTAACCCTCATGGGGAGGAAGGGAATAATTTGGAGGACTTCCTTCAGTAACCACAAGTCTCATTCACTGCTCTGCAGCCCATCTCTGTGCCACCTGCCAGCCGTGCTGGAGTCTAGGAAAATGGGAATAAAGACAGACTGACGAATGGGCTGAATGAGGTCCAGGTCTGAGGCAAAATCGGGAATAGCTGAAGAACACGTTTACAGAAATGTGAGGTCAGTTTACTTCCTCTGAACGCTGCATGATGATGTTTTGTAGTGCTGTAGTCAATGAGGGTATTTTCAAGTAGGCAAACAGGGCAGGGGATCATATATTAAAAAGAGGCGGCATGGTATAGTAGAGCTGCAACAAGCATACGTTTTTGAGTCAGAAAAGCTACGAAGTTTGATGCCTGGCTCGGTCACCTCAGGCTGGTTACATAACCATTCTGTAAAAGCAACTGAAAAACAGGCCCGGAGGGACGGATTACCAACATAATGCGCATCAAGGGCTTAGCTCAAGGACCCTGGTAATAAGCAGGCAACAGTATTAGCTTAAGTTTCTGGGAATCTACTTACAAGCTAACAGGTTAGCCTATTACTCTTGTATGGACAGATGCAGAAGACGAGAGGTGCTGGGATAACAGACGGGGGACTTACTGCTCACGGCAGACAGAATCCACACTTCCCGTGTGCACCAGTTCTCCTTGCCCCCTGTCCCATGGGGGGCGGGAGCGGGCAACACAGATGGACCTAAGTGGACGGCTACACTTCGTGCATCGTTGTCGTGTTGTAGGAGAGAAAACTGAGCAAGAAGCAAGAACTCTTTGAGCAAGTGGCACACGGTGCCCAGTAGAAGAGAAGCCAGGGCCCCGGCGCTGCGGTCTCCCCCAGCCATCCAGCAGCTGGTATGACTAACTGCATGTGCCCTGCAGACTGACCAACTGGGCAAGGACGTGGAGGCGGCTCACGGCCCACGGTGGGCATCCCTCCCAATGCTATATTATTCATTGTTAAAATTCACTACAGGGCTTCCCTGGTGGCGCAGTGGTTGAGGGTCCGCCTGTCGATGCAGGGGACGCGGGTTCGTGCCCCGGCCCGGGAAGATCCCACGTGCCGCGGAGCGGCTGGGCCCGTGAGCCGTGGCCGCTGGGCCTGCGCGTCCGGAGCCTGTGCTCCGCAACGGGAGAGGCCCCAACAGTGAGAGGCCCGCGTGCCGCAGTAAATAAATAAATAAATAAATAAATAAAAATTCAGTGTATAAAGGGAATGCTTAAAACTGCTCACATCCAGATCTGCTTGAATACTATCAAGTAATAAGGTCTTTACAACCTTCAAAGAGGCTGTACTTCTTCCCCGAGCAACGCTGGAACAAGGCCTCTCTACTCGCCCTTCTACTCATCACACGTGGGGCTCCAGCAACACGCCTTGTGCTTCTTTCATTTGACAGCCCTTCCGCTATTTGAAGACAGTTGAGGTTCTCTGATATTTACTATAATTTGAATAAAGCATTTGCAAATCACTTTAATAATTATATGGCACTGAATGTATGACCATCTCTGTTCTAAGTACTACACACACATTAACTCTTTAACAACAACACCATAAGGTATACATTATATTTATGCCCATTCTGTAGATGAGTAAACTAAGGACCAGAGAGGAGAACATGCTCTGGACACACAGTGAGCAGCAGCGAAGCTGGGACTTGAGCTTCAGAGTCCACCCTCACACCTACCGAAATATTTCCTTCCTTATCTCCCCTTAGACCGACCGTCTCCCTTTTCTGCATTGCCAAGAAATTAAAAAGCAAACAACAACAATAACAAAAAGACTAAAGAGAGGTTTTGCCAATACTGAATCTTCTGAGTGTATAGCAATTAATAAAGCAGTAGTTAGATTAGTCAAGGTAAAAACTAGAAAGATAGTTTATACAATAAGTAAAATCAAGTATAAAGGATTTCTAAAAGGAAGAACTGGTGAGTCTACTAAAACAGTTGAAATACTCCTTTGGTATCCCAAATCTAATCGCAGTGTTAATAGCAGGCTCCTTGAAAGATACACTTGAAAAGAAGATTGGTCCCGGAATACAGTGACCTCATTCTAAGTCAGTTTGTTTGTTTGTTTTTGCCGTACGCGGGGGCCTCATACTGTTGTGGCCTCTCCCGTTGCGGAGCACAGGCTCCGGACGCGCAGGCTCAGCGGCCACGGCTCACGGGCCCAGCCCCTCCGCGGCATGTGGGATCTTCCCGGACCGGGGCACGAACCCGCGTCCCCTGCATCGGCAGGCGGGCTCTCCACCACTGCGCCACCAGGGAAGCCCCTAAGTCAGTTTTTACCTCAATTTAGCTACTACCTGACCTTCTAAGAACCTCAAAATCTCCCCACAGTTCCACCTTTGCTAAGTGCGGGAACTAGAATATCTAAATGTATTTCAAGTCCTACAGTTCTATGGTGCT